AAACCGTTTCAGGTTAAATTCTACAAAACGACCTTCCGTGAAATTGTAGCAGTTTTTTAGGTATATATCTAAAAACTAATTTTTTGTACTTATTTTATGGTGGATAGCAGTATGTATGTATGGGTGTTGTAAAAAATAAAATATTCGTTATACATTCCCTCCGAGACTTTCTCTTTGGTCTAAGTGGAGCCTTCGGTCAATAAGTTTTACTAATAAAACCATAAAGCGCGACCTTACTTCTCACACGTAAAAAAATGTGTGTTTGTTTCTTCAGTAATCGTTGAGTAGGTGGCTCCAAATCTGAAATCTATGTGGCAGCTAGCAGCACAGTGTTCTCGTAAGAATGAAATGTTGCCAAGTCCATTTTTTTTCCAATTTTACAGGGGAAGAAAAAACTTCTTATAAAAATTGCATTTTCAAAGCAAAACAAAACTTCATACGAACACCCATATTTTTTACGAGTTAAAGTTAAAAAAACAAATTCTACTTAAGTTTATTTCTGTCATATTTTGTAAGAAATTATGCGACTTATAGTATTTTAGCCAAATGGAGGACTAGAAAATCCCAACTGACATACATATGTACATATATACAATTCAACGATTTTTTTCTAGTTCCCTTAGGGAAAGTCATATAATTTACACTGACACACAACTTTTAACACATCATAAATATCTTTTACTTTTCTATATACGAGTATATAGTATTCATATAACGAAGAAAAAGTGGCCGATCTGTTGCATGGAAATGCATAAATAAAATGGTGGTTTGCAATTTCGTTGCCATAAATCAAAAATTTATGCGCAAACAGTATCGTTGGTGCATAAAAGCATATAAAAACCTATGTAGCTGTGTACGTGCGTGCATGTTGTATGTGTAGCACAAATACACATGAAAAGATGAAGGAATGCAGAGGCATGGGAAGCAAGTAATACCTAAGTACAGGCGCGTATTATCCCAGTGAACCAAAGCTGCAGACTTTTTCAATATTTTTGTTCTTCTAAATGCATAAATATGTAAAACTGCCACACATTAACTCGAGTTCTACCACACCAAAAATGGCGTTTCTAATAATTGTTATCATCTGGCGAACTCTTGCTGAAACTAAAAAAATCACGCAATAATTTTTTTGACAGGCAGACGAATTGGTAAGTACCTGTAAGACTTTATTTGCCATAAACACTTGCTGCGAAGACGAGTTTTTGAAAGCATCGAAAATTGTCTCTGCCATTACCCGCTTTAGGTCAAACTGAGCTCGACGAGAATCTCCGTTTTAGCGATTTAATTATAAAACAAACTGCGACAGATCCGCTAAAATTAGTTTTACATTTCCAAATATTCCGAAAATTATTTTTTAATGGCTGGAATTTAAGGTCCTATTTATATTTAGAAGCTTACTAAACTTATGTATGTTTATTGGGTAACCTCAAGCAACACATGAGTATGTACATAATTATATATAATAATGTGTACGGGGAGGTGCCATACATAATTTCTCAGCATCTATAACCGCAGAATCAGTATCAAAAAATTTCTTAAAAAGCAAAAATCCAGTAAAGTATACAACTTTCGAAATTTATCTCCAACGTTGACCTATTTTTTTAACGCCAGCACCCAACTTAGTCATGTGGGTACTTACTTAAATATGTATGTACATTAGGTTGGTCCAAAATAAATAAAGTTGGAATTTTAATGCTCTCACCCCCTAGGATTGTTCTATATCGAAAAAATATACCCCTATTTATTATTTTGAAATCAAAAAATATTTAGAGGTATTATATATGGAAAAAAACAACTTTCCTAGGGTGTGAGATCATAAAAATTCTGACTTTACTTTTCACATGCATTTTGGACCACCCTAATGTGCATTCGATGTTAAATGTACATTGTACAAACATATCTGTACAAGGTATGGATATGCCAATTTATGCAAGCAGTATATTGATATTTGCCTAAATTTTTCGCGCCATTTTTATCTCCACTGCTTTTGCAGAGAATTTTGTGCCATTATTTCCACACTCCTCTTACAAAGTCATAATTCTTTCATGTGCCGGACACATGTTTTTAATCTGACTCTTTAGGTTGCACTAGCACACAGACATAAAATGAAATATTTATATATATGTATATGTATGCATGTGAATATGTACATACATATTTCCATTAGGATGCATCGCCAAAAACAAGTTGCGGATTTTAAACCGGAATTATAACACTTGTTATGCTTTAAGACTTCCGCCAAAATATTTTGGAAAACTAAATATTAAGAATAACGTGAACTAAGTAGACCGATATGAAAATACTTCCAAAAAATCTCATTATTTTAATTCCGTTGATAAAACTTTTGAACATTTTCATGCAGAACTTTTATGCTTAGCTCTTTTTTCATCTGAGATGATTTAAAAAAAAAGATATATTTTAAAAACTAATTTAATTTATGAAAAAAAAATAATGATTTTTGGAGGTATATATTTTCAAGCTCGTCCAGCTCAATCTTTGGGCGTAATTCTTAAAATATAATAAATTTTATATTTACGATGGAAAAACTGTACCAATTATTTTTTTGTATAGATAGTACATTGAGTGCAGCACTCTAATATACAAACGTAACAAACGCATGGTAAATTGGAATGTGTAAATTTTAGTAAAATGCGAAAATTTCTGCAATTGAATTGAACAAAAGTTCCCCATAGCCGACTTTAGTGGCATTTACTCCAATCCGTTAAGTGTTTGTAATTGGAAGTTGGCACTTCCTACTTCATTCCTCCATTGATCCTTATTTTAGTTGCAAAATCGACACTACACCACAAAATATCTCATTCGACTGCACTGTACCTCCGCATTTAGGGTCGCCCGGAAGTCAACTGTAACACAAGCTCACTTTTGAGAATTACTAACCTTACGCTCAAACGTTTCTAGCACAACAAGGCAAAAATGGCAAAGTATTAGTAAAACTGTGAAAAAAGTACGTTTGTTCATTGCTTATAAATTCTTCCGGCAACGGAAGTGAAAGACTATCTACTCCCTGTGCAAGCGAATGAATTTGCACAGAGCGAGAATGTAGAAAAAAGATCAGTAAATCTAAGAATGAAAAGAGTAAAAATGTCAGTGTAAAGGCCAAAGAAGAAAACAATTAAAAAAAAAATGCTAAGCTTATTGCATATTATGCCGGACAAAGCATGAAAATGCTAAGCGTAAAGTGACTTCGAAGCTTTGCAGCGAAACTATGTTGCATTTTTCATATTCATATTTTTGCTTATACTTTTTTTTTTGAATTTATGAAGTTTTTTGCTTTATGTGAACGGAGGTTAAGTGAATTTGAGAAATAATCTTTTTGGGACTTCCTGTAATGTAGCTTGCTGTACATGCACATACATACATACATATATAGCTGCGTACATATGTGAATATCTCTATTCGTATACAGACTTATTTCGCTAAATCGAAAACTGCCCAGCAGGAAAAATAAGCAATGAAAGGAGCTTTTTGAAGCGGTAGGCCTTTCGTGTTCCATGCCTTACTCATTACTTCTTTTTTTTTATGAATGAGCAGATTTTATAACTGCGTTAAGCTCAGCCTGGTTGTCGCTGAAAATGTGTAAAAGGGCAACAAAGGGCGCCAAAGCATCGCTTTATCTGGGAATACTGGCATTTAATGCAAATATTTGTTTCACTCGCGTAAAATTAGATGCTAAAACTTTTCAAAAATACATCACGTGTGTATGTACCATCACTCTTTGTGGCAGCAAGCGTTGAACATTTCCACACTAACACTCGCACAATGCACTTAGGCAAAAAAGCTTTTATCGCAAAAATTTCTATGAGCATGTTTGTCGCATAACTGTGTAAGTATGTATGTATGTGCATAGGTTCAGTCTTCATACGAACGAAAAAAAAAACAAGAACAATATTCAACCGTATACAGTCCAACCACAAACCACAATTTTTGGTGACCCTCAGCGACAGCTCGCGCCCTTGTCGCCACACCCAAAAGCGGCCAACAGCAAACAACATTGTTGCGCTTTTATGACCAAATGAAAATAATGGCCAAACAAAATGTTAAAATGGCTACTTTAAAGTGCCACCAGTCCAGCGTGGCCCCCCCCGCCACTCAACACATGCATGCAAATGTACACACACACACGCACACATTCACAAGCTTTATTGCAAAAACAAGCATTTTGCCAGCCTTTTGTGTTTTGAGTCGAAGCCTTATCGATGAAACAAGCGCTCGCTTGTCTGTCGAGGGTCCACCAGGTGCGATTGTATGCCCTATGGTCCATATAAGCAACAACAACAATAGCAACAATGGCGTGAAAGTAACAACAAAAATGGCTGATAAAATTATTCCTGTCGCTCGTGGCTAGCTATCGAACTAACGGTTATGTTTTGTCGCATGTGGCTTTTAAAATGTATGAACATGGTTAGGTGAGCTTGTGATTGTATGTATGAGTATTTGTACATATACATATGTATGCATGTATGCTTTCAAATAACAATAGCAGTAAAGGAGTACTGAAGCGACAGAAATAGTTATTAAAAATAGGCGCTAAAGCTTTGGTGGCTCATACAACTTGCCTATTTGGCTGAGAAAAAAAATTGCTTCGAAAATTGTGTTGACATGGTAAGCACAGGAGGGCAGACATACATATATACTTGCATTTGCATGTAGACTCACGCTCGCCAATAAATACAAAAAACCATATCGTGTAAAAACTTAAAAGGTTTATTGGGAGTAGAACGATTTCGATAAGCGCCAGTAGTGCCTATTAATAGCATATTCGATGCTCAATGGCCTTTTGTTGTGGTGATTATAAGGTTGTTAACACTATTAGCATATCGGTCGAGTAATGAAAGTATACATTACATATATAAAATTATGTAGACATAACTAAATGCCAGGCAGGTAAGATAAAAATTTACAGCATTGGAAAGTCATTCTTAAGGATTTTTTTTAAATTTATTAAAATGTTAGAGAATAAGCTAAGGAGTTCCGTTGGAAAAGCAATACATATGAAGACTGTAAATAAAAAATTTGCAGTATAATTTCAATCCAATAATTCGGAAAATTTATATGCCAATCAAAATTTTAAATAAAATTTTTTATTACATTTACAAAATGTCTGTTATTAACGTTACGTGTGCTTCTACTTTATTGGCTTTGTGACAGCCAAGTCCAATAAACACACCAGTTGTTGTTTTTATGTACCAAATGACGCTATATTTTTACTACACAGCTTTTAAGCGTATTACACTATTCATTTAATTGAGACCTCTATTTATTTACACTCAGTAACTTTGTAATAAAAACTTTGTAGAGGCAAGTTTGCAATTCCATTTTCAAAAAAAAAGCTCTTTGCTATTTGCTCTTTGCGCATTCTCGTTGTGGTTTTTTTTTTTTTGGGCATAACACATGGTGTTGATTTCTTCCTTACTTCTTACTGTAGGTAGATTAAGGTAGCCCAAAACGGTTTAGTATCGATCCCAAAGCTTTAAGGAATCATCGGTGATAAAAGCAGTTTGTGCCAAATTGGAAAATGAAATGCGATTTAAAGTACAATAGGGTAAAAAATGGCACGGTTCGAGCCAACTTGGCAGCCCTGCATATATTAATTTCTTTATTGAAAATAGCGATAAGATTGAGTGTTTTCTTCAGAATGATATTGCCCGAAAGAACAACGCGTACGATGAGGAGTGTCAAGAAACTGCAGGGAAAAAAGATGTCACCTGCAGGGCAATGCTGCGGCGAGGCACAACGCGAGCCATGTGTGATCATTATAGAGAACTGGTGAGAGAAGCGAAACGTATTTGCCGCAATAAGAAGAGAGAGCCCAAAACACGTGAGTGCGAAGAGCTTGAAACGTAACGAAATTATTTTGATATGTTATTTTCGGCCATGAACAAAACGAAATCAATTCATATACTAGTTTGTTGAGCATCCCTGATCGAAAGTTTATTCACCTAAATTCTCGGATTTTTGGAAAAATTTGAGGTAATTTTTTCTGCTGAATTCTTTCTCTTGGCAGACAAACTGATGTGCTGTGTATGTGTCTAGGGTACTCTCAATTTAGAGCACATAATATTTATGTATATACTATACATACATACGTACATATATCCCTTTACACTCCCTATATACTCAATCTTTGTACTCAATTTGAATGAACACATTACAAATGGATACATTTGCACATACTACATACATTTTTATTTTCTGTTTGAAATTTTCAACTTGTGAAATTTGGCTTCCCTCGCTTTTCGCAGTGCAGACCATTGTCGTTTGCCGAAAAGTGTTTATGAATGAAATCCCCACACTGCCAGCAGCCAAAAGATCTGCAAATATAAATAAAAGAAAAAAGAGAATATGATTATAAAATAAATATAAGTATAACAGTCATTAATTTCTAAATAATTCGTATACTTTGTTGGGGTGCTGGCGAAGAAAGGAATATCGTCACCTGAAATGCAAAACGACGTAACAACATCGTAAATGAAATGGAAACAGTCGTGACAAATATTTTAATTTTTTTTTTTTATAAAATGTTGTGGGGAGTTGTAATTCGATGAAATCCATGATATAAATCAAAAAGTGAATTTTGAATTTTTTAGTCGTTATGACTTTTTGCATTTCAACGATGATGTTTGTTACGTCTTTTTGCATTTCAGGTGACGATATGTAGTATATGAAAACAGCAAAAAGACGCTACATATGAGACACAGCTTTTGCGATTTTTCATTGAAATGTCATATGAAGAGCACATCTGTCATGCATACCCACACATACGTACACATGCATACATACATACATACATACGTATTTAGTTTGTTATGAAAATATTTTGAAATCATATTCTGTTGATGCGCACAGTGTTTGAGAACTTTTTGTTTTGCTTTATGTCTAAGTGTTGGCATTGTTTTGCTGAAAAATTTGCTTAATCGACAGATTTATGACCCTTTCCGCTCAGGCAAATTACTTTGATGAAAGATCTTGAATGGTATGCATTCCGAAACGGGAATTTACATGTGCATACACATACTTCATATGTATATATGTATATACATACGTAAGTATATATGTACATACATACGTAAGTATATAAATCTGTGTGTTTAGATTAAAAATGCTGGGTTGAGGGTAAATAACTTTCTAGAAGCTAGACTCAAAGAACTTAGTCTGTCATTTTATTCAGTAAAAGGAAACAAATGTCATAAATGTTTCATTAAAGCAGATTTAGTTAATAGTACAAATTGTAAAGCTCACGGTGCCAGTTATCAGTTATCGAATAACGCCTAAGATAAATTTAAAACTTCCGTAATCTAATGCTAGACGCTTTCACTTCTCGATGACTCGCTGAACTTTGCTGGATAACTCGGTGTATGGTTTTATACAATGAAGAACTCAAGGCCATCATAGGCCAGATAAAACAGACGGCTTTTAACGTCATTCATAGATAGACTTTTATATCCTTCATGGACTCACCTCGTGAATATCGGAATTGGAATGCAATGGCCAACTGTAGCAGAGGAAGAGGTTAAGCTGCTTCGTTCAAGTTTTGTCACTGTGATACAGTTGCGCTTTGTATAATGTATCCTAGTAGATTAAACTCACTGGCGCAAAAATGCGTGCATTTGTAGATATAAACCTATTAACACACTTTTGTCATAATATTTTCATAATACATGTATACCATACTAAACAACAATATGCTTTGATTGTATATAAAACACACAGTGACCCATACAAGTGTTCACATGTTGTTTTTAATATTCCAGTTAAACTTTTTTAGTTATTTTTTTTTTAATGAAAATATGGTTCATGCATATAAATCAAAATTTCAAACTTGGGAAAAATTTAACAAATTTTTATCAGAGTTTCGAACTTTTAATTTGAATCTTTAGAACATTTTTGATGCAATTTAAAAAAACTGGCGTTGATTTCTTGACATTTTTCTGCCAATATTGAAAAAGTGCAAAAATCCGTCAGCAAAAAAAGTATCAGATTCAACGCGACTTTTTAGCCGCTTGAAACCTCATCAGACTAAAATTTTATGCGCAATAAAGCTGCTTCCCCAAAAATTTTCTAACAACTCAAATTAAAAAGTTTAATTTCTCTCTTGAAAATTTGTTGATTTTTTTTAAATTTTGTATAAAGTTTGTAACCTCGATTTATTTAGTTTTGGTTAAAGCATAAACAATATTTTTATAAAAAAACGTTTCACTCGGAAAATATTGTCAATTTAAAAAAAGCACACTTGTTTGAGTCACTGTATATTATAAATAGCATTATTCGGCTGCCAACGGCAGTTTTGCAGACATGACATTGCAAAGTTTAGTTAACAACGACGAGAATATAAAATTTATGAGCAGAACCTTTGTCAAAGCCAATACAAGATAACGAAGGCAAGCGGGTGTGGGTGTTAAATGCTCGTGTCAGAGGCAAGAACTCAAGTGAACTGCATTTAATAAAATTACACACGCACGCACATATATACTCCAAATAGAAACACATTTATTTACATCAACTTATTGGTTACTTGGTACTCATACTTCGGTTAAAATAAACGAACGTGTCAATGCTTGTGTGTGTTTGTTTTTGCAAACATTTTGCAACCAACCAGCTGAGAGCTGTCACGCACTACGCTTACTAAGCTTACATGGGTATGGCATATGTCCGACTAATTTATTTATAGGATAGACAAGAAAACGACCACAAATGGGTTTGGGTAAATGAGGCTCTAATAATTTCGTTATGTTGATCGTTCATCAGGCGCATACACAACGGCATATACGACGAATGGACATACATAAGTATGTAAGTACTACCTTTTATGTAATGTAGATGTTTGAATAATTTGAAGAACATACATACGTACTTACATATATGTATGTGGATATACATATATGAACAGGCTATGTTTGCTTAAAATTTGTATTTTAACACTGCTCGCCTGTTGACGTACTGGAATGCCTTTGTTTGCGCAAATTTAATTAACCGAATCTGCTAATATTAATATGTACTAATATAATGGGCAAACAAAAGCATCGATATATTTATTTTTACATGCATACATATGAACAAATATATGTACATAAGGGTGCATCACTTTCCTTAAAAAAAAAATAAAATAAATCGGTACTAGTTTTCCATCGGAAATGTAAAAGTTATTATATTATAAGACTTTCGTCATAATATTTCCTAAAAATACAAAGATTAACGCTACTTGGATGTATTTGAAATATCTCCACAAATCGAGATTTATATAAATAAAAATTGTTTTTGGAAATATTTTTTCTAAAAAATCACTTAAAATGATAGATGAGTTCAAGCTTAAAAGAGCTACCTAAAATTGTTTGAAAATTTTATCAACGGAATCAAATCAATAAATTTATAATTTCTGTAAAAAACCCGCACTTTTTTTGGTGATACACACTAATGTACATAATATATTCAACTATGCCATTGCATCTAAATGTATATGTATGCAAGCAAATATATACTATATGTATGCAGATAATTATGCAAATAGGACTGCAATAACTATAGAAGGAAATATCTACATATATGTACATACAAACATATTTAGATCATGTGGGCATATGGGCATGTCAACTTGCATAGGCAGAAGTGCGGACAAATAGTGATTAACATATATGTAAATATGCAAGCAAATTATATAGCGGCGTGTGCTTTCTTGACCAACACATATGTACAAATGTTTGTATGTATACGTTTAGGTATGCTTTCAACTGGCTGCTAAATGCGTAACGTGCAAATTTGCACAAATTATGCCTAAATCATAATTAATATTTTAGATTACAATGTGACAACAAGTAGCAGCATTAAGCCCAGACATATGTACATATGAACATATGTACTCACTTGGATGTGAGTGAATGGTACAAGTATTTTACTCGTGAACAAACTTCTGCTTGAGTGCTCTTTTTTCTTAAGAAATTGATTGACTTTATCTTGGATGTCCACCAAAATATACTAATCCACGTAACGGTCCACGATGTTTCTACATAGAATGCCCCACAACTTATAACCGTGAACCGGTTAATCGAGGCCAAATTTTGAGCAGTCCAGCCAGCCTTTGCAACAAGGCCATTCCTAAACTCCCAAAGTCATCGATGGAATCGTCTTTTATCTCAGTAAAACGAGACTAAGGTTTTGATATCAAGAGTTCTTGCATTGAAAATACTTCTTTCAAAACTATATAGGTTTTTTAAAAATTTACTATGTGCAGGACTTTGAGACTGGCGCTCATATGTATCAGCATTATTGCAGTAATAGGTCGTTTTATGCAATATTTGTAGAAAACTTGTGGATCTTTCTTGGGATGTTAAAAAAATTTTAGAAATTTTTTCGGCGGCTCGTATTTATCTTCTTGGTATTTTTAAATATTTACGGAACCACATATTCATTTATTATTTTGATTGAGTGATTTTTGCAGGTATTTTCGGAATATCTGAGGATGTTTCAAAAATTTTAGCTTTTCTTCGAGTTTAATCCAAGAGAATATTTCGTATTGTTTTCAGAACTTTAAGGGATTTTTCGAGATTGTAGAGACCCTTCAGAGCACTTCCGTATTTATCGTGTTTAAATTTCGTAATGTTTTTGGTAACTTTCAAGATTTTTCAGGAACTTTTATTATTTTTTTTTTTTAAGGTTTGGAATATTCCTTCTTACATTGTGCGGTTTTTTCGGTGTACAAAAGTAGGCTCAAGTCAAGTTTGAAAAACGTATAGCCACTTTTAATGATTTTTATTATCTCAGCTATTTTGTTGATGGTAAATTTTAAGAAACAAATGTTGAAAAATTAACCCATTTTTGGACTTCTTTTTTTTACAAATAAATTTTAGGTTTTTGTTTAATATTTTAAAGATATGAATAGTGGGGAAAAATTAAATGAAAATTAAAGTAATTATAAAAAATATCCACTCTGATCAGCTGGGCTATTTTATTTTGTCTAGATTAATATTGTGTAGAAAAAGACCAAGAAGCTTTAGAAAATGTAAACTCAATTTCACATAAACCCTACAAAAAAAACATGAAACGGTAAGGGGATGATAGAAATATATACATATTAAAGTTTATTGGTATAGCAACTAATATCCCACAAAAATGGTATAACAATCTAAAATGCCAAAATGTTTGGTTTTTTAAATAATCTTTATTAATTTTAGCTACATACGTACATATGTACATATACACTTCTGTGCAAAACAAAAGCAGTAGTTTTACTTAGCCATTTTTTCACCATTCATTAATTTTAGATTTTTTAACTTTGTTGAATTTTCGCAAATTTTGCACAAAAAATAAATAAATTGTG